ACCAGGCTCCTCTGTCCATGGGATCTTCCAGGCAAGAGTACTGGAGTGGGGTGCCATGGGTCTTGTTAAAATGTTTGAAGACACGCTCCTTTTGAAGAAGGACGGACTCCATCTCAGGCCTGTCCGTGCTGGTCGTGCGTGGCCACCTCTCCGGTGGACTTTGAACTCTGTGCTTAGCGCCTGTGGGAATGACAATGGAAGGATAAGACCCCCCCCCTCTGGGCAGTGAAGACACTAATCACCCCTGCCTCCGGACAGTATCTATCGGAATGTAACCACAGGCTTATCGGTTATTAACTGGTTGGAATGTAACCGCGGGCTTATTGATTATTAACTGTTTGAACACATAACATGTGAATGATGGGGTTATTGTGATTGTATTTACCCTTCCTTTGTAAGCCTCAAGGGGGTGGTGGGTTTGGACACGTACACATGGGGTATAAAAGATTTTCACAAATGCTGGTCGGGGTCCTTGGCTAAGAGGAGACTCTGCCTTGGGCCCGCCGGTGTAATAAACTGCACTCCACTATCTGCATTGTCCTTCTGAGCGAGTTTGTTTCCCGGAAAGCGTGGCTATAACACTTTCAATTAACTTAAGAAAGTATCCCGCGCTCACAAAGAACTAAAGATACGGTCCAAACTCGAAGTGGTGAGAAATTCACTTGGAATCGCCATTGAATGAGGAGATCCGGGTAAGCTCTGCGGAAATGGCGGGACCTGGAGAGGTATTCCTGCTCCAGGGGCTCGAACCGGCGGACGCAGGGCAGGGGAACCCTGTGCCTACCGCTTACCCGAGTGCAGCCACTCCCTCAGCAGAGGGCCCCAGCCCCGCCAGCAGACGCGGGCAGTGCTGGCCACACGTGGGGTCGCGCCAGCCGGGCCAGGCCCCGAGGCCGCCTCAGTTCCCGCCTGTGCCCCCAAGGAAGGCGCCCTGCGGCGGCACTCCGCCTTACCGCAACTCCCTGCCCATACCGCCTGCAGGCAGTCCATAGTAAGCAGCATGATGAGTCAGGCACAGACGTTTAGAAATCATTCTGTTATGAGTGCAGACAATTGCTTCACTCTACACCAAGACAACATTTTGTAATCAAAAGGATTTGGATTCTGGCTGATTTCTACCATTAAACCTCTGATACACAAGTGTTAGTCTCAGTCACGCGCGACTCTTTGCAATCCACGGACCGTAGCCCCCCAGGCTCCTCTGTCCATTGGTTTTCCTAGGCAAGAATACTGGAGTGCCGTTGCCATTTCTTTCTCCAAGGACGGGTACAAATGGCGTGATCTGACTCCCATGTTAAGTGCTCACAATCTTTGAGCTTTCAAATAAAGATTACTGAAATTGTCTCTGCATAGTTTTGAATACATTATGCTTAGTCACTCAGTCGTGTCCAACTCTTTTCAAGCCCGAGGACTGTAGCCCACCAGGCTCCTCCGTCCATGGGCTTCTCCAGGCAAGAATACTGGAGTGGGCTGCCATGCCCTTCTCCAGAGGAACTTCCGGACCCACAGACTGAACCCAGGTTTCCTGCACTGCAGGCAGATTCTTTATGGTATGAGCTACAGGGAAGTTCCTTGAATAAGCTATAAATGTGTAAATGAGTAAGGAGAGATACAGACATCTTGACAAAATATCTAATTCATGGCAAAACAATCCATGTTTCACCTGGCTGTGTGGCCTGGATGAGACACTCAAATTCTTTTAATCTCATATGTGACAAATGAATGGGTCACTTCCTGTATTTTGAGGTAGAAAAGTGCAGCTGAACTAGATGCTCTCTAGAGTTTCTTTAGGCTCAAACATTGTGAACGCTTTGCAAAAATGTCCTTTAGACATTTTTCTCTACCTTTTTATCCCAGGTTGTGAAAAGAAATCTCACTGTCAAATCATTTCTAGACATCTGGAAAACTTAATCCACTCCAGTGTAAGACACCAAGGCAGTTAACAGTCAAGCCGTTATTAGTGAAAAAATCGTGTGTTCTAAGAGGCCATTCGCTGGGTTCTATTATCTTACCATCACAACTATGACCTGTAAATAATACAGGCATTTCAGAAACTCATTTAACTTTTAGTATGCTGAGGTACAGTTTATTTTATCAAATCTACTAGAGAAATCTCAATAGAAATGCACATGCTCCAAAGCATATAAAACCTCACTAGGGTAGGGAATATATGAATGAATATGACCCACCATTCTTCAAAATTCTCCCTATTGAAGAACTTTGTAAATGGAACACTGAAGTGAAAATGGCCCTTCACACTTTATAACCTCACAGATTTTCAATGATAATAATATACTTATCCCTCATACTTCAGTGGGTAAAGAACCTGCCTGAATGCAGGAGACACAGGAGAATCGGGTTTGATCCTTGGGTTGGAAAGATCTCCTGGAGGAGGAAATGGCAACCCACTCCAATATTCTTGTCTGGAGAATCCCAGCAATAGAGGAGTCTGGTGGGCCACAGTCCAACAAGATGCAAAAAGTCAGACACGACTGAGCACACACACACAATATACTTATCTAGGTTCACATACATAACACATACTCATGCCAGATGTGATATTTCTGAGTATGGCATCTAACTGTCAGAGCCAAAGCAATAAGTACATAAGGCGCACATATTCAAAAGAATTACAAAATGCCCAGAGAGGAAAAGAAGAACAGACCCACAAAGTGGGTCAAACCAGTGCCAAACTAGAAATCATGGCATCTCAGAAAACATCCTGGGTAATAACATTATAGGAAGTTCCAAAAACCATGCAAAAGCTGCTTTTAAAGTAAAACAAAGTATACAGTAACCCAGTTTATCCACATGGTATATTTTCCAAGACCCCCAGTGGATGCTTGAAATCTTGAATAATACAGAACCCTATATATACCATGCTCTTTCCTATACATACATACCTACGATGAAGTTTAATTTACAAATCAGGCACAGTAGGGTATCAAAAATAATAACTAAAAATAAAATAGATCACAATACACTGCAAGAGACATTATGTGATGTGGTTTCTCTCAATATCTTATTGGGCTCTACTCTCCCTTCTTGTGATGACATGAGATAAGACATGACCAGATGGACTAAGGTGAATAACACAGGCAATACAATACAGAGCCACGAAGACATCGACGGTTGGAGGTCAGAAGCGGACCACGTGGATGGATGGGGATTCGGGGCAGCGTGGGGCAGGACTGAGCTGGACCATGTAAGATATCACACTTCACTACTCAAAACAATGTACAATTTAAAACTCACAAATCATTGATTTATGGAATGTTCCAATTAATATTTTCATACTGTGGTTGATCAAGGAAAACTCAGCTGCAGATAAGGAGGGACTACTATAATGAAACCATAAGGACCCATGCTATTTTACTAAGCATACAATAGTGTTCTGTGCTTACAGTTCAAGCTGCTATAGTACAGGAAAATGAACGTCACTAATTCCTTCTTCCGTATAACCAGGGGAAGACAGTATTCAAACAAAACTTCAAAGGAACAGGCAAAATGGCAGAGCTCTGGTTGGGAAAAGATGAAGACTTGAAGGGAGCAGGGCTGATATGCCTGACATCAGGAATGGCTCAGTTCAGGTAGAGATAAACTCGCTTCCGGGACTTTTAGAAGCTATTTCCGAAGTTTGATTTTAGATACTTTTAGGAAGGGAGTAATACATCACACAGTGACTCTGAAAAAGACTAATCAAATTTTCAAAGTGGGCTTGATAATGGCTGAGACAGCCTGAGATTAACCTTTATCCTTTATAGCTGGCGTCAGAAAGAACAACCACTCTCTCTCACAGTCTTCACCAGCGGCAATCTAGGGTTTATGGGTCAAAGATCTGGCAAGTTCTATCTCTTCATGTTACATGAAATATGTCAAAGTGTTATTTATTAAATATGCTTCTAATGGAGGTGTGAGAGAAATCTACAGGCTATATATTCCAATCATCTTATTTCCCCATGAGAAAATTCTGCCCAGAGATTGCACTTATCTGACACCTACAGGAGAAAATCTAGACTACTCTTCATCAAGACTCTGGCAGATTTCTTCAAATGTAGTGACCAGAGTTAGAAATGAAGACTTTGACTATTGTTGTGAGTGGCTGCTTTAAGAATTTTAAGAGTAGAAACGGCTTCAGTAGAGAAAAACAGTACAGGCCCTACACTTCTGAAAAATGCCATCAGAGGTTGACTTTGAATCCAGAGTCAACCTGAGGCTGGAAATTCCCCTACAACAGATAGCAATATGGTTCCTACAGGTTTTTTATCTACAGGTTTTGAGATACCTAATTGAAAAAAAAAAAAGCCAAACTAGGATGAATAGAAGCCAAGTGTATATGCTGACAGCTCAGCCAGAAAGAAGAAATTAGGTTTGACTCAGAGACTAAACAGGTTTTGTTTAAATGTAATTAATTCCATCTTTGACATGAAATCACAGTGAGGCATAATGTCTTTAAATAATTTTACTAACTTTAAATCAGCATCTGAGTCTGATGGAAGTTACTACCTCATTTTCATTGTTGGACATAAACTTTAAGCGGTCACGACTACTGAAAGAAGAATCACTACTAACATTGTTCTACTTATTTGAGTTCACAGGACCTAACCTGGATGTAGAGACTTGTGCTTATGCTTTCTGGGGGAGATCAGAAGGAGCTCTGCATTTAATTAAAAGTGAAATCACTTACACTCATTAAAATGAACTACCTAACTCCACTCCTCTCAGAGTCTTAATCAAAAATCTACTTCTCAGACAGTCTACTGACCATATGGCACAGTGGCCTCTTGGTGTTACGGAAATGCTCATTCAAAGCAGGAATGCGTTCCAGAGGAGCGGGGCACCCACAAATAAAAGGACCTTGGCAGGCTCTGTGTCTTAACCACTTTTTAGAATAGCATCTAGTATCCAGCAATACCCAATCCCCTCTCTTCTAAAAATCCAAGCTGACAAATGGACATTTATATTAAGAAAAGATTACCAAGGAGTTCAGCAAACCTTACTTCTGGTAGTGGGCCGGCCGGCTTGGTTAGGATTCCTCCTACATAAACCACATTAGGCAGGGTGGGTCTCGGGAACTCCAGGGCTACGTCTGTACACAACATCCACAAGCTGGACCCGTGGACCAAGTCATACATGGACTTCCCCGGCAACAGGTTGTACTTCTGCATGATCCTTTCATATTTGGGAAGAACCAGAAAGCTGATCCCTATTCTGGAAATGAGGTAAATGCCGGTGTTTTTCATCCTTTGCAGCAGGTTCATGTGGTCTGTGAGGAGTGAGTTAAACTCTGGGACGTAAGCCAAGGGGGCAGGAGCGCCCACTTCAGCAGGATACCAAAGGCCGGTTGAAAATACAGCATATTTAACCCCCAAGAGATGAGCTATCACAAATCCACACATGTCATTAGGGTCGACCAGCAGCAGGTCAAACTTCTCCTTTTTTAGACCCTGAATCAGGGCGTGGTTGCCAACCATCATGTCACAGTTCTTGGTATAGTGATCCAGTATGTCAAACAGTTCGACTGCTGTCAATCTCCCAGAGAAAATATTCCGCATTTTGGACTGCAGGAAAGCATCCGAGGTGGTACTGTTAAAGATCCCTGGGTAACGCTGGAGGCTGTAGTGATTAGATGGCGCGATGTCTCTGCCTTCAGAGAGGAGGAACACTGTGTGGTGGCCTCTCTCGTGCAAGGCCGAGGCTAGTGTCTTGAAAATGTACATATGGCTTTCAAACATAATTGGCGGCACGATGATGATTTTGGCAGCCTTGGCTATCCCAACAGCACTCCACAGGAGCATGAAATACGGAGTGTAAGACTTCATAGCTGAAATGACAACCAGAAAACTACTTAAAACAGACTGCAATCCTCACCATTCAAAACCATCACAAAGATGCTTTTTCACAGGATCTGATGATCCAGTACTTTGCCTAAGGATGGCTTTAAAAAATTATCCCAGTATATGTTCTGTCTCGTCATTTCTGAAAGGTGTCTCTTAAAATACAGAATTGACAGTAAGACTGGCATAAAGTGAAATAAATTTAAAATGTATCAGCTTTGGAACAACAATAGAGAACTCATCTTTTTTTTTTTTTAATTTGAAATGAAACCTGTAAGACTGAATTTGAAAAAAGATCTCTCTTCTTTGAATAAGAGCTATAAGCCATCTATGAAACATTTGTTTCTCTTTTAAGGGAACATCAATGTTAATCCCAGGAAGAAGAGCCAAGACTTCTTTTTTGGGAGTATATCAGCCTGTATGTCTCTTTTTAAATCATTTTATCACAGCAGTAACATTCCATAATTATGACTAAAGCATACCACAGAAAGATTATGTATCAGAAAATCATTCTTTCAAGTAGTAATTCTATAGAAAATATGTTTTTCCACAGGAGAAAAAAATGACCTTTAATGTGACTTTCTCCTTTATCTAAATACCCTTAAGTATCCTGGCCAACTCTGTTTATGTAATTTATATCAATTTGCTGACTCATTTCAGGGCATTATCTAAAGAGAAACCTTTGACACAGAAGTTCAGGAGGGTTAACTGGATCTCAGTAAGTCCTTGTGAAAGAGATGGCTGATGAGTGACTGTGTCCTTGACAGTACTTCCCATGTGGTTACTTGTAACTCAGGTGCAAAGGACAAGTGCACAGGACGGCTAATCTTTCCTCTACTCTTCTGCTTTAATAAAGTATATACAATAGTTAGAGTCACCTTCTACCATTTTTTAAGAAATACCTATGTGGGCCACTGAATATGGAAACTTCCCCTACCTACCCAATATAATTTACACTTGGATTCTAAACTAGCCTCCAAATAGGGAAAGACCTAAACAATAATTACCCATGAGAACTGGACTTTTCTACTTCAAAGAACAACTCAAAATAGATTTATATGCAATCACCAAATCAATATGTGTTTACCCATCATATATTAACCATCCTGCTTATACAAATTCCTGCCATCTAAACACAGTTTAAACAACTATACCTTCTCAACATTCAAACACTGCAAGAAACCTAAAAAAAAAAAGAAGAAATCAATAGCAGACAAATGATAGATTCTTCCAATACCAAGATTAAACTATAAAATATATTTCCAGATGCTTTTCAAACCAATTCCAAATGATATAATATCATTAGGTTATCATTACTGTAACAGTAAACTGAAGTAACATGTGTTATAAACATATGAAAGCCTATGTTAAATGTTGCCTGAATTAATGTGAGGCCTTTAAAAAAATAATTTGGAGCAAACACTGCTTCTATAGCAATGAAGTTTATTCTATAATTACAATGTCAATGAAAGAAGAAAATTAAGTAGCCAATCTTGGAGCAAACCTTCCAGGCCTTTATTCTGTGTTATGTCTCCAAATGTGTCTCTCTGGTGTAGCCTTCTGCCAACGGTGGTGGTGGTTTAGTTGCTAAGTTGCGTCTAACTCTTGTGACCCATGGACTGTAGGCCATCAGGCTCCTCTGTCCATGGGCTTTCCCAGGCAAGAATACTGGAGTGGGTTGCCATTTCCTTCTCCAGCTTATTTTCCCAACCCAGGGATCACACCCAGTCCTCCTGCATTGCAGGCAGATTCTTTACCAACTGAGCCACCAGTGAACCCCAGCCTTCTGCCCTTGCCAAGGAAGAAAGAAATTAGGAATTTTAAATAGACAAGTTATTAATTCTAAGAATGAGATCTATGCATAAAAGTTATTTCGGCTGAACTGCCCATTGCTGTGACTAATAGTGCCTGTTACTGCTGGCAAGTCCAAGAAGACCAACATCATGATGGACCAATGTTAGGCAACTGCTCTGCCAACTGTATTTCGCATTTAGCTGAGCAGATGGTGAGCATACTCAGCTCCTTCAGCTGTAGTTATAACTGTTACTTTAACATAAATCACTAAGAAACAAAAGATAACAGTAGGGAAACAAATGCTTTCACTGCATTTCTTAATTTTTTCTTTTAGTATTTTAGTAATTACTGCAAAGTAAAAAGAAATCACACAAAATGACTGTTTCATCACAACTGCTTATCTTCTAGAACCACACTGTCCAACAGAACTACCTATGATGATGAAAATGTTCTATCTCCTTACTATCCAATATGGTAGCCTCTAGTGAGCAATTCCAATGTGATTAGTGTGGTTAAGGAACTTCTAAACTAGTATTGTACTGAATGTGTATGTGTGTTGGTCACTTAGTCATATTCAACTCTTTGCAACCTCATGGATTGTAACCCAGCAGGCTCTTCTGTCCATGGGATTTCCCAGGCAAGAATACTTGAGTGGATAGCCATTCCCTCCTCCAAGGGATCTTTCTGACCCAGAAATTGAACCTGGGTCTCCTGCACTGCAGGCAGATACCTGACCATCTCAGCCACCAGTGGCTGTCGTATAACTAAATGAGGTTAGAAAAGGTACATAGATTCTGTACATGTAAATTATAAAACTATTCAGAAATACCAATATTCATATGATAAAATATCTTAAAAATAATGCCTACTAGGGGGTCATATGTCTTCATGAGAAAGAAATGATTACCAACAAAGAAGCATCATTTGCACAAGTGCGTTATTCACTATTAAAATACAAAGTTAATTATGAAGAATTACAACAGCACTTAAATCTCATAAACATCACTGTTATGGATAACAGAATGACTAACACAACTACCAATAAATGGTATGACCCTTGTTAGTCCAGAAGAATTACAATGTATCAGTTGAAAAGTTGGACTTCATTAATATTAAAATCTTCTCTGAGAAGATAATGTCAAGAGAATGAAAAGATAAGCAACAGACTGGAAGAAACATTTGCAAAATATATATATAAAAAAGGATTGCTACCAAGATATGTAAGGAAGGAACTCAAATCTCAACAATAAAAAAACAACCTGATTTAAAAGGGGTTAAAGGTCTTAATAGACATCTCACCAAAGAAAATACAGATATGAAGTAAACAGATGAGAAGATGCTCCACATATGTCACTGCTGCTGCTGCTAAGTCACTTCAGTCGTGTCCGACTCTGTGCGACCCCATAGACGGCAGCCCACCAGGCTCCCCCGTCCCTGGGATTCTCCAGGCAAGAACACTGGAGTGGGTTGCCATCTCCTTCTCCAATGCAGGAAAGTGAAAAGTGAAAGTGAAGTCACCCAGTCGTGTCTGACTCTTCGTGACCCCAAGGACAGTAGCCTACCAGGCTCCTCCATCCATGGGATTTTCCAGGCAAGGGTACTGGAGTGGGGTGCCACTGCCTTCTCCCTCATATGTCATGAGGGCAATGCAAACTAAAACAATAATGAGGACTTCCTTGGTGACTCAGTACTAAAGAATCTGCCTGCCAATGCAGGAGATGTGGGGTCAACCCTGGTCCGAGAAGATCAGAACAACTAAGGCCGTGCATCATCACAACTATTAAGCCCGTGCTCCGGAGCCCAGGACCCACAACAACTGAAGTCCTAACAGCCTGTGCTTCCCAACAGGAGAGGCGATCCCAATAAGAAGCCCGCACACCACAGCTAGAGAGCAGCGCTGCTCGCCACAATTAGAGCAAAGTCCATGCAGCAAAGAGAACCCAGCACTGCCAAAAATAAATAAATAACTAAAATTATAAAAAAAAAAAATAAAGCAACTATACTGCAATAAAAAAGTAATGATACCACTATACATCTATTAGATGTTTAGATATATACATCTATATCCAGAACACTGACAACACCAAATGCTGGAGAGGGTATGGAACAACAGGAACGTTCATACATTGCTGGTGGAGATGCAAAATAGTACAGACACTTTGGAAGACAAATCGAGGTTTCTTATAAACTAAACATACTCTTACCATGTGACCCAGCAATTGTGCTCCTTGGCATTTACAGAAGAAAGATGAAAACAGATGTCTACACAAAAATCTGCACATGAATGTTTATAACAGCTTTATTTATAATTGACTAAACTTGGGGGTATCCAAGTACAGCACCTAAAGTTAGTTGAATAAATAAAAAAAACTGTGGTACATCGCTATGGTGGAATATTATTCAGCACTAAAAAGAAATGAGCTATCAAGCCATGAAAAGAGGAGGAAATTAAAATGTATATTTACTAAATGAAATAAGCCTATCTGAAAAGGCTACATACAGTATGATTCCAATTATATAACCTTCTGTAAAAGGCAAATCTATGAAGACAGTAAAGATATTGGTCATTGCCGATGGTTGCAAAGGAGGAAAGGATGAACAGGTTGAGCACAGAGGATCTTTAGGGCAGTGAAATTATTCTGTAAGACTCTACAGTGATGTATAGATGTCATTACACATTTACGCAAACCCAGAGACTATCCAAACCCCAAGGGTGAACCCTGTGAAGCAGGGCTCCCCAAGCCCCGGGCCGAGGACTGGTACCGGTCCATGGCCTGTTAGGGACCGGGCCACACACAGCAGGAGGGGAGCGGCGGACCGGTGAGCAAGTGAAGCCTCACCTGCTGCTCCCCAGCGCACACATAACCACCTGAATCATTTCTCCCCGCCCTCAGTCCCTGAAAAGATGTCTTCCACGAAACCAGCGCCTGGTGCCGAGAAGGTTGGGGACCACTGCTCTAAGTATGGACTTGAAGGCATGCTGATGCGTCAGTACAGGTTCACTGATCACTAACAACGGACCACTGTGGTGAAGATGTTGACAGTGGAGGAAGGTATGCACGGGTGTAGGGGGAGGATATAGGGACTCTGTGTACTTCCTGCTGTGAACCTAAAACTGCTCTAAAAAGTAAAGTTTATTATTTTAGGGAACAATGTAAAGCAGCCTGAAAAAATGAAAAGAAAATCAACCA